CTTCACTCAAATCTTCCACAACATAAAGACACTTTCCCTTGTTTTTTCTATGAGCATTGAATTAAAGGTTCTTCTAAAATCATATTTGTATAATCTAGAAGTGCCTTTTTAGATGGAAATATTAGACTTCGAAGCTCGATTTGAGACTATTTCTTTAGATTTTTGGTGTTTCTTTAACGATTTTATATACGAATCTATGAAACAAAATCAAGCAGATATGATTTTTGGAAAAAGTATAGAACTATCATTACACCTTCTTCTTTTTTTTCCATTATGCCTCAAAATTAAAAGAAAAAAACACAAAGAGAGTAAAGTTAGCAATAATTTTACCTAATGTGGTTTGAACTTTGAACTTAGACATTAACATATGCATGCTACATACTTACATATGATGGAGACTTAAAGGGACTCCTTGACATTGACAAAATTAAATATATTATATATGTACATCAAAGTTCTACACAAATAAAACCCAAAAAAGGTTCTTTCTTTCTTTTAGGAACACTTAAAGCTTTAAGGGTTTAGGTAGGAGGACTATAAATTTCTTATAAAATTCAAAGAAAGTTAGACAGAAATTTTGGTCATGTAACGGAATTAGAGATTACAATTCGAACTGTTATAGCCTTCTTTTTTCCTTCTATCTAACAATATTTTGTTCATAGAGTATCTCGAATTCATAGTTCTTCTGCTATATATGTAAGTGTAACATCAAACTAATGACTCTTACAGCCTTCAAATGTCTTAATGTATACATGTCTTTCTGTTATTGCTTTTGCTTATCCAAAATTATTCACATAAAACACAAAAGGTTAAGGCACATCAAGTTCTCAGGCCCATAGGTAATACTTTGGGCCTACCATCGCAACTCTTTCTTGAGCAATTTGTTAATAACATTGTTGATCCTAATTAGCATTTCAACGTCTCCTACGAATATAGAATTTATTAAAATATAAAACACGTTCATTATGTCGACTGAGTTTACAACTTTTGAATATCTTTGATCAAAATATTGTGTTTTGTGTAAATAAAACAGAACAACAAAAACACTTTTTTTTATCAAATTAGAAACAACAAATTAAATCAGAAATTCAACATATATAAAACTGAAGTCCTGAGTCATAATCATTTTGAATTTCTTGTTCGTACGAAGCTATTATTTATATATATCAAGTGGGGCTTCTAAGTGACATGTAAAGCGAAAAAGTCGACCACATTTTCAGCGCAAATTATCGAGCTCTCCTTTTACATTATTTAAATATTTTAATGTGGAATTTTTGGTTACAGATAAAGCAATATTAGCCTAAAGACCGTCCAAATCAAATGTTTCGACTTTATTAGGATCCGAAAATAATACTGTATTAACTGACAAATCTTCTTTTGGAAAAATAAGGAAGTGGACGTTCAAGAATTCATGTGGTTGTGCATCACATGTGTTCTCTTTTTTCATTTGGAATTTTACTTTCACGAGTAGTTTGTTTGTGGCACCCACATGTGTGTCTTCTTTGTGTTTGTTTGGGGGCAAATGGAAATAGTTTTTCTCTGTTTAACAAATGTAAATACTTACTCAGAGAAATCTTGGTTTTTCTTTTCTTGTTAAAAGTGGTCGCTGAGGACGAATCTTATTCCTAGGCCTATACTCGCCGATAATTATAGCATAACATAAGTTTCCTGCCAAAAACAAAGAAAAAGAACTCCTATTATGTCGGCGATTGTTGCGCTACATTTGGTGTTATTATAGCACATGCGTTTGATGAAAATAAAATAAAGTTATAACGAATGTAATGGCCAATTAGTGTCACGCCTTCTCATCAATTTGCATAATTTTTTGTCGTTTTTTCCAAAGCGATTTGAATCACTTTTTTCTTATTAATATTTTGTCCTTTCCAAATATATAGAGTCGTGCCGTCTTTGCTTTATATAGGGAAGAAACACTTGTATTTAAGTTAGTCTATACTCCATCACTTAAAATAGTTAAAACTACTCTCTTGTTTTTGGAAGAAAAAAACTCATATCTTGTTCTTCTTCCTTGGTCTTCTATAGTCGAAAACCCTAATTTGAGATGTCTAGGTACACATTTAACCCACCTGATGAAGAGCTCATTAGCTATTACTTGAATAACAAGATCACAAATAAGTATGATTTAGAGGAGAAACAAATACACGAGGTCAATATATGTCACCATGAACCCACAGATTTACCCGGTGAGTCATATCAAAACCCTAAATTATAAATCTCATGTTTAATTAATTAGAATCTAATGTACATTCTTTTCATGTTTATGTGTGAATTGAAAAGGCTTGGCGAAGATAGAATCGAGCCACACTTGGTACTTCATATCGCCAGTAGAGAAGTTTGGGAAGCTTAACCGGACAAAGAGGGCGTCGAGGACAGGGCACTGGAAGATAACCGGGAATAGCGGTACGGTTAAGGATGTTGATGGTAACCCTATCGGTTTAAAGAAGTTTCTTGTTTTCCAAGAAAACAAAAGATGTTCTAATTCATCATCCACCACCACCCAACAACACAAGTCCACTTGGATCATACATGAATTTCATTCCTTTATCCACCACCCCAAAAAGGTAGATG